CTATGCTATTTTTCTTCATTTTGTATATTAAACATCTGTTTTATTGTTACAACTGAATCTGCAGCCTTGTATGTTTACATTTTAATGAAAGACCACCATGTTAAATAAAGACCAAAATTTGATCCCAGGTTTCATTCTGGGATCTGACTGGTCCAGTAGTAACATCAGCTGGAATGATAACAGGAAGAAAATTGGATTTCATCCATAAAAGAATTGAACATGGCTATTTGTGCAGTGAAACATATATCCACACCCAGGCAAAAATTCAGACTAATTTAGTTATCTTTGTCCTCAGAAAAATACTGCTGTCTATTTACGGCTTGTGCCAATAGAGTGAATGAGGCTGCATCTGTTGAGAGGATAAATCTATGAACTGAGTTACAGGACGCATATCTGTTCGTTTTAACAGTGATTCATCTCACAAGGTGTACATCAAAAACTGGCTTAGCTAGCTAATAAAAGATCAAGCTCCAAGAGAAATGCTTTCATCTTTCCTGCTATTCTGGGATCATTCATGTAGTTCATGGTTCTCCTTTGACTCAATTTCCCTTTCAAGAGATACCATGATTCAGCATTACAGCTGCAGGACATTGAAGTTCCGGAGCCCTGTTTCTGACCATGTCAGTGGTGCAAGTCCAGATGGATCGCTAATTTGCACAAACTTACTGATCTCAGCAGGGAGAAAGGATTCTTCCTGATCAAAGCAGCAAAGTAATTGGATAGAGTATTGTTTTTGGCTGTGTCTCACCACCAAAGATATGAATAAATTGATGGATTGGGAGGAGAGTTGGCATAGACTGAGTCTGTATTCTCTGGCATTTAGAAGAGGTGATCCCGTAGAAACTTCTTAAATTCTTAAAAGACATGGACAGAGTAGATATGGAAAGGATGTTTTCTGTGGCTTTGAGGGCAAGAACCAGGGGGCACAGTCTCAGACTAAAGGGCAGGCCATTTAGAGCTAGGACGAGGAGGAATTTCTTCACTTGACCGGTAATGAATATTTGGGAATTCTCTACTCCTAAGGACTATGGAAATTCAAGCATGAAGAGAGTTTGAGAAAATCTGATAGATTTCTATTTACTAATGACATCAATGGATATGGGATAGTGTAGAAATGTGGCTTTGAGGTAGCTTATCGGCCTTGGTCGAAAATGGCAGAACAGGCTTGAAGGGCTGAACAACCTCCTCCTGCTCCTACGTTCCTATAAGTAAACACTGAAATATCCAAGCTAACTTTCCTATCGAGTGCACAACACAAATAAAGGCCATTCAGCCCAATTTATGTGGTAGTCCAGTCATATTACCATTAGACTACTAATCCAGAGACCCAGGTAATGACCTGGGGAACCCAGGTTCGAATCCTGCCATGGCAGATGGTGGAATCCAAATTCAATAAAAAATCTGAAATCAAGGCTCTAATGATGACCATGTAACCATTGTTGAATGTCAGAAAAACCCATCTGGTTCACTAGTGTCCTTTATGGAAGGAAACTGCTGTACTTACCTAGTCTAGCCTACATGTGACTCCAGACCCACAGTAGTGTGTTTGACTTTTAACCGCTCTCTGGGCTTTCAAGGATGGGCAATAAATGCTGATCTAACCAGTGACACCCACACTCCATGAGTGAATTTAAAAAATGGGTCCATTCTGATGTTTATGCTGCAGAAAGTCTCCCCTTTTCCACTTCATCAAACACCCTATCTGCAAAAAATTCTCTCTCAATCTCCTGCTAATTGATTGTATTGCATCAGTGATTGAGAACAGTTGAGCAATAGATGACCATAGGGACAGAAAGATGATGCTGGGGTGAATGAAAGAAAATTTTGAACGAAGGACAGCATAACTCCCTTTGCATCAATCGGTTTACCAGAACTAAAATAGCATCAATACTTTTAGCTGTTCTTAATAATTATTAATAATCAAGAGTTCTGTAGATTTCAGTCCTTCCTTAAATAATAACTCTCCTTTTTCATTGCCTCAAGATGTTGTACTTCAAAGTGTAGCAGCATTCCTGCAAGTTTTGCATTAATACAAATACTTTCCCTTGGTTTTTGTCATCAGCTCTCTTAAGCCAAAGCACCTTTAGTACAGTGAAACCTCATGAGGCATTGTATAAGAGTGCAACCAAACAAAGTTACATGAGGAGCAACTTTCTCTGAGCTGCTGTACGGGGCTGCTCCAAGGTTCCTCACACACCAATCGTCATGATGATGTATTGATTTCTGATTTTGTAAGTCAATGCTGCTCATGGAGCTGAGAAAACAAAATTTAAAGGGAGTATTGACGAGGATGTATCGGGTGTGAGGTGGTGTTTTACTGGTAATGTCACTGGAATGGTAATAACCCAGAGGGTCAGTGTGATGCTTTGGGGCAGCTGGTTAAACAGAATTCAGTTATTAAATCTGAAATTAGATTCAGTTATTAAATCTGAAATTAAAAGCTCATTTCAGTCATGGTGATCCTGAACCCATCATGGATTGCTGTAAAAACCCATCTGGTTTATTAGTGTGCTTTAGTGAATCTGCCATCATCATCTAATTCAGCTTACCCTGTGACTCCATACCCACAGCTTTAACTGCCCTTTGAAATGGCAGAACTAGCTATTCAGTTCCAGCTATGGTAATTGGGGGTAGGTAACAAATGCTAGCCTTATCAGCAACTTCCACCTCCCGTGAAAGAATAATGAAAAAATATTACGAGTTATTACAAGTTAAGTTTTAAATGTTTAAAGAAGTTGAGAGAAAGGTGGAGAGACTTAGGGAGAGAATTCCAAGGCTTTAGGATTAGGAAGCTGAAGGCACAGCCATCAACGGCGAACCATTTAAAACATTGGTTCACTCAGAGCTTAGAATTGGAGTTGAAAGACCTCCATGGAGATTACTGTTGGCATTACGGACTGAATTTTGATGACAGATATCATGTACACTGTACAGGAAGGTTGTAAATTGAAGTTTCCCATCTTGTTTGCAAGGCATTTACAAAGCTGTTAATTCCAATGGAGTCAGATGGGGAGGGGGGTAAGACCTACCTAGGCATTTTGTTCCCTCCTGGAGAGGAAGGAGGGGGAATGTTCTATTTTCCCCTAATTCCACACACTGAAGGCACTGCTCACATCAAGTATTCACTATGTGTAGGAGCAGAGTCACAGGCACCTTCCTGAGATGTAGTGCTACACAGGGCAATACATAGCACTCACAATCACAGTATCAGTTTCTCCTTAATCATACTGTCAACGTTTGTTACTTTTGTCTTGTAGAATTAACCCGCCTTCCTGCACTCAACTGTTAAAAGAAACTCTAGCCCATCAGCAAACCAGCAATCACAGCTTAGGCCTTGCAGTTTAAGCTCAATGGGATTCCCACCTCAGAACCCAGATAGTTTCAGGTTAAGTCCCACTCCAGAAAGTCCAGATTGATGCTACAGTGTAGCACTGAGGGAATACTGCATTGTCAGAGGTGCTGTGTCTCAGTTGAGATGTTAAGTCAAAGTCAGGTGGCTATAAAAGTTCCCTATTTTGAAGATGAGCAGGGAAATGTCTTGGCAGACATTTCTTCTACAAACTACACCTAAAAACAAAAATAAACCAAAGAGCTGCGGATGCTGGAAATCAGAAACAAAAACAGAAATTGTTGGAAAAACTCAGCAGCATCTGCGGAGAGAAAGCAGAGTGCTGAGTTTTTCCAGCAATCTCTGCTTTTGTAATACCTTAAACCAAGTCGTCGGTCATTTATTTCATTGCAATTTGTGAAAATTTGCTGTGGAGCTGCCAGATTTTCAACGTTACAACAGTAACCACACTTCAGAACTACAGGAAGTGGAGGAGACTGGTACAGCTATAAACATTTAAACGGCATCTGGATGGGTATATGAGTACGAAGGGTTGAGAGGGATATGGGCCAAATGCTGGCAAATGGGGCTGGATTCCTGGGTGGCACAGTGGTTAGCACTGCTGCCTCACAGCACCAGGGTCCCGGGTTCGATTCTACCCTTGGGCGACTGCCTGTGTGAAGTTTGCACATTCTCCCCGTGTCTGTGTGGATTTCCTCCGGGTGCTCCAGTTTCCTCCCACAGTCCAAAGATGTGCAGGCTAGGTGGATTGGCCATGCTAAATTGCCCATAGTGTTCAGGGATGTGTAGGTTGGATGGGTTATAGGGGATTGTGTCTGGGTGGGATGCTCTGAGGGTCGGTGTGGACTTGTTGGGCTGAAGGGCCGGTTTCCACACTGTAGGGATTCTATGATCTGGTCGGCATGTTCCCATGATGTACAGCTCTAATACTCTACTGTTCTACAGAAGGGTCATGGGATTCAAAACAGTAACTCTGTTTCTCTCTGCACACATGCTGCCAGACCTGCTGAGTTTCTCCAGCATTCTCGGTGTACTTCCTTAGCTTTAAAACACATTGTGCAGCGAATAAAGGTATTTAATATTTGATATTATAAATAATATTCATCTTCCAACTGCTGTTATCAGGCTATAAAACCAACAGCAAAGTAACTGCTACATTTGTTCTGTTTTTATATAAAGCAGATGCCCTGATATATAAGTTGGTGTAGGCCATGTGTAACTGGACCATACAAGGCACAAAGGTTCCATATTCAGTCCCTGGACTGTGTTGGTTAGTTGATCTCAGTCAAGTTGTTAGTATGGGAATTACAGCTGACTGCTCCTGAACAAATACCCAGAGTCACTCTTGCTGGAAAGGCAGCTGTACGGACGCAAGATATCATAAAAGTGGTAACTTTCTGCTGAACTACTCATGTGTCTGGCCGAGAACAGCTAACTGAGAACAGATTTGGGAGTGAGGGCATACTTGCCTTTTATGATGATTAAAAGGATCTTGTGTGAGAGATTCTGTTACCAATAAATAAAAATGTTTATACACGTTTCCCTTTTGGAGACTACATTCAACAGGGGATTACTAAATTTCTCAGTTTCTGCAACTGGACGGCATGAGATTTTTCCGTTAGTACAAGTCAATGAGAAGGCTGCTCCATACCTGATGTAATGCAGTGAGTCCATCTTCATTGCACAGATCTGGGTTCACATTCTTTTTCAGCAAGAGGCTCACTGCAATAAAAACACTACAATTACTCACAGAACATAGCTCTGCTTTTAGGCTAACTTACTCCCATTTTATAAAGGATGGAAAGGAGACCATTCAGCCCATTGTGACTGTGTCAGATCCTAGGTGGATCTTATCCAACCACTTACACTGCTCTGCGTCTTTCCTTTAGCCCTGTGAAGCTCTACTCTATTTATCCAATTCCCTTTTGAGTGTTCCAATGAATTTCCATCCGTCATCCTCTCTGGCAGCTTATTCCAGATCCCTATGTAAAACAAAGTGTTTCCTCTTGACACCATTGGTTCTTTAGTTAATCATCTTAAATCAGCGCTCCCTTTTACTACTGAAAGCAGTTTCTTCTTCCTTGCTCCATGAAACCGTTCAGAATGTTCAACATCGAACATCCCCTTAGCCTTCTCTGTTCTAAGGCGAACAACCAGAGCTTCTCCACACTGTCTACAAAGCTGAAGTCTCTAAAGCCCTGATCCTATTCAAACAGAACTCTCCCACACCCTTTCCAATGCCTAAGCTTTACTCCTAAAGTCTAGTGCTCAGAATTAATGACTATATCCCTGTTGAGGCATGACCAAACATCAGCTAGAACATTTAGAAAGAAGCTTTGTGAGCTTAGACAATTTTAGCTTCAAAAGAGGACAAGTGGGAAGCATCTTTACTGAGTTGTAGGAAACAATAAACCAAAGGTTCAACGGGCAAATTTGAGGCTTGATTATTGAACAGAAACTAAATGTACACAAGTCATGGGCTTGTGCTGCAGCTATACAAAACCCTGGAGGGACCCCACTTGGAGTACTGTGAACAGATTTGGGCACCACTCCTTGGGAAGGATATATTGGCTTTACAGACAGTACAACATAGATTTAAAAGAATGCTACTTGGACTTCAGGGAGTAAGTTATGAGGAGAGATTCCACAAATTTAGCCGTTTACTTTAGAATTTAGCCGGTTAAAGGCTGATCTGATCACAATCTTCGAAGATATTGACAGGAAAAGACAGGGTGAAAAAAGATGAACTATTTTCACCGGTTGGGCATTCTAGAACTAAGGGGGCATAGGTTTATAATTATAGGTTTTAGGTTTATAACTGGGGGAAGGGTAATTACAATTCTGTTAGGCAAGAATGGGGTAACATAAAATGGGAACAGATGCTATCAGGGAACAGCACTTTTGAAATGTAGAGATTGTTTAAGGAATGCATACTGCATGTGCTCGACATGTCTGTCCCTAGCAGGCAGGGAAGATGCGGTCGAGTGAGGGAGCCTTGGTTCTCAAGAGAGGTTGAACAACTGGTTAAGAGGAAGAAGGATGCTTATGTAAGGTTAGGTGATTCATTTTGGAAGGACAAACTTGAATACAAGGTTAACGGAAAGATTCTTGGCAGTGTGAAGGAGCAGAAGGATCTTGGTGTTCATGTCCACAGTTCCCTGAAAGCTGCCACCCAGGTGGATAGAGTTGTTAAGAAGGCGTATGGTGCGTTAGCTTTCATTAATAGAGGGATTGAGTTCAAGAGCTGTGAAGTTATGCTCCAGCTATACAAAAGCCTGGTGTGGCCATATCTGGAATATTGTGTCCAGTTCTGGTCGCCTCATTACAGGAAAGATGTGGAAGCATTGGAAAAGGTGCAGAGGAGATTTACCAGGATGTTGCCTGGAATGGAGGGAAGGTCTTACGAGGAAAGGTTGAGAGAGCTAGGGCTTTTCTCTTTAGAACGACGAAGAATGAGAGATGATTTGGTAGAGGTGTACAAAATGATCAGAGGTATAGATAGAGTAGACAGCCAGAGACTTTTTCCTAGGATGGAGGTAGCTATTACAAGGGGGCATAGTTTTAAAGTGAGTGGAGGTAGATGTAGGGGAGACGTCAGAGGTAGGTTCTTTACTCAGAGAGTGGTCAGAGCGTGGAATGCATTGCCGGAGAGGGTAGTGGAGTTGGCCTCATTAGGGGCATTTAAGCGGCTATTAGATGGGCATATGGATGATAGTATAAGGTAGGGGTGGAGGTTAGATAGACCTTAGGATTAGGGTAAAAATTCGGCACAACATCATGGGCCGAAGGGCCTGTACTGTGCTGTACTGTTCTATGTTCTATGTCATAGTCTAAAAATTAGGGCTAGACCATTCAGGAGAGATGTTAGGAAGCAGTTCCCTACACAAAGGGTGGTAGATGTTTGGAACTCGCTTCCACAGTAGATGCTGGATATAGTGGTTAATTTTAAATCTGAGCTACGTGATCTTTTGTTAAACAAAAGTATTAAGGGATATGGGCCAAAGGTATATGGCATTAGGCCACAGATTAGTCGTGATTGAACAGTAGAACAGGCTTGAGGGGCTGAATGGCCTTCCACATCCAGTGTGTAGATCTCATGACTCCAAACAAGTTACCAATCATTTCTACCAGACCATTCCCATGCAGCAACTACACTAACCAGGCCACTGTAACGGAATGTCAACATTCACCTTCTGAAGTGTGCTCTCTACTCCGAGCTCATTGTTGGTAAAAGATCAGAGAGTGTCCTGAGAAAATGTTTCAAAGTTACACTGAAAGCCAACTTTAAGTTCAGTTTTGATACCAACAGCTGGGCAGAGTGTGCACGGGAGCCCCCAGGACGATGAGCTCTACTTCACCAAGATGTAGCTGACTTTAAAACTGGCAGGTAACGAGGGCCGAAGACAAGAGAGCAAGGAGAAAGCTCAAGAAGGGACACGACTCCTTATCGATGACTGACTGACCAAAAGACTTGCCATTGACTGCTGACATGAAATGTGGATCTTTTTTTTTAAAAAAAGATGCTATTGCCCACTTTGCCTTCTATTTTCTTTTTCTCACCATCTTACCTTTCACTGACTTCATTCTATCTTACACTGCCTACCTTTCTCTTCCCTTCTCCTTCTCCTTACTGTGGGATTTGTGACAACCCCAAAGCTTCAGGGGCCTAAGGCAGTCTCAGGAATCGATAAGTATCTTAGGGCATCAATAAGCATCATTTCCACTCACTCAGTGTTAGGGAGCCATTTAGTCTAGTAAACCATGCCACACAGCATTTACCAGCATTGAAACAGACCATTCAGTCCAAGTGAACTGTTTACCCCATGCAAGCCTCCTCCGGTTTCAACCAAAACGGTCAATATGTTTTTCTATTCCTTTCTCCTTCATGTGATTATCTAGTTTCCCCTTAAATACTGCTTCCTTAAACTGTTCCAAGTGGATGCAAATTCCCTACTCTGACCATTCACTCAGGAAAACAATTTCTCCTGAGTGTTTTGTTGGTTTTAATGAGGGACCAGCTATATTCATGATCACTAATGTTGGACTACCTGCATTCGGAAACGTCACAAAAGTTGAGGCTTACGTACAATTCTTTGGAGAATGTTGAGTGAATGTTGAGTCAACAGGCAGCAATGACTGTTACAAAAATCAAACTCACTTTTTTTGAAAATTTCAGTCAGAGGATGGTTCACATTATTTACAGGTAAAAAGTTACCTCTTAGTTTTTTTTTAACCAAAGAGTGTACTAATGTCAGATCTACACTCTTGTAAACAAACAGCAACAAGCTTTATTGAACAGAACTATATAGAGGATAGTAAGAGGGAATATCTTACTTGGAGCTCCACAGACCCAGGCTCCTGTTTCATGTGATTTGATATCACTATGATGGAACTGCTTTCACACATACTCAAACATTGTACCAAAGTAAAGATATAATTCCCTTTACTCAAACAGCACAGGAAAATAAAATGTGATAAATCATTGTTATTAATTAATGTATTTTGCAAAGGCATAACATTAATAATCGGAAGCTGAGCGGAGCAAATATTTAGCTCATGCTCTGTGAAAACAGGACAAACTTGTGTTAGATTTCTGTGCAAGACCATAGAGTAAGGGTTCCACATTATTGTTTCCAGGTCATGCTATTATTTAGCTAAATATTGCACAGAATAAAAGATACCCTCTGTATTGTAAATCATGTTTAAGGGGCAGACTGGTGGTACTAGCCACAAGTGACTACTCGCATTGAGAACACTCGGGTGACAGCCCCAGAGAGAGTACGGACCTCAGTTTCACTGATGGCTTAAAAAGCAATGTTATATTCATTCAGAACTTTAATGACTAGGAGGCCCCATGTTTGATCCAGTTCATGATGGCTTCGCTTCTAACAATTGGGGCAGCAACAATGCATCGAGGTGGTCTCAGCTTCCAAAAGCACAGAGAGGCAAAGTTAGCTAAGGCTCCAGCTCCCAATCACCTCCAATACCGGTCTCCTGCAAAACTGATTTTTGTGACTACACCAATGATGGCTGTTACAATATTCATCACGCTGTTACCATCCTCTTTCAGGGCAGGGATCTACAGGGACTGCTTGATGTGGCTGGTAGAGGAAGATCACTTGGTAGTCTAATAGTCGTCTTAGACATGGCGTACTTTATTGCATGATAGCAACTAGGTGCAAGCTACAATACTGTATAGACATTGTTACCAAGCCAATGAGGGAGACCTCACTATTTGGTTTTAATCCTTCAAGATCCAAAGCTGCTCCGTCATCCAAAGCCTTGCCATCATATCTTTGGTGCGTAAAGCACTCCTCAGTATTAACCCTTTCAGACACTTATACAACAATGGCCATGCCTTCTGCTGCCGGAGTCCAAAACCTGGAAATTTCTTCAAACCTTTTTTGCCTTCTCGTTTTTACCCCAGCCCCCTTCACCTTAAAACCTATCTCTTTGACTAATGCTTTGGTCACCTGTCACACATTTAATCTGTTAACTTCCAGGAAAGAGCCTCACTACATTAAAATGCACTGTACAACATCAAGTTGTGTTTGTTGCTTTCCAGTGAATCTTGCTGGAAAAGTGTTAGTGCACCAATGTTAGCTTGTACCTTCTAAGTCTCTCAGTGTAGCTGTTGATGTTTGCAAATGACCTCTTGAGCAAGGGTTGTCCACGTATGTGAAATTTTAGCTTGAATCAGCAGCTCCAGGGAGAAATGAAGT